CTCCTGCCAGCAGCGAGCCTTCGACACTTCACGTGGCCTCAAAGTGCACCTAGCCTGGCACAGGCGCCGTGGTGACGTCACCGTCACTTCGTGGCGATTGGCGGCTGTTGGTATTGATGGTCGTGATGATGGAGATCGTCATCACGACGATTGTCGTGTCTACGGGGTTTGCAACGACTGCCAGCACTGTACGTGCTGTGGAGACTTTGCAGGATGTTTACACGGCCCTGCAGTTATAGCTGAGGTTTCCTTTGTGTGTGTGTGGTAGGGTGTGTGGGGTGTGTGTGGCAGAGTGTGTGTGGTGGGGTGTGTGGGGTGTGTGTGTGTGGGGTGTGAGTGGTGGGGTGTGTGTGTGACAGAGTGTGTGTGGTGGGGTGTGTGTGTGGTGTGTGGTGGGGGGTGTGTGTGTGTGTGTGGCAGTGTGTGGTGGGGTGTGTGGGGTGTGTGTGTGTGTGGGGTTTGAGTGGTGGGGTGTGTGTGTGGCAGAGTGTGTGTGGTGGGGTGTGTGTGTGTGTGTGGGGTGTGTGGTGGGGTGGGGTGTGTGTGTGTGTGGTAGAGTGTGTGTGGTGTGTGTGTGTGGGGGGGGGTGTGTGTGGTGTGTGGGGTGTGTGTGGTGGGGTGTGTTATGGCGGGACACTTGCAAGCGAAAAGCAGAGTGCGACGTGATATATTAATTGCATCAGTGGGTGTGCAATTAGTAAGGGCGCGGTGACACGGACCTATTTCACGTAAATGTTGTAATCCCTTGTTCATCACGATGTCCTTTTTACTTTGATGTCTCAGCAGCAGCGTGACGGAGACCACGTGACGTGAGGGTCTTTGTCCTGAGGGTTGTGAGTTGACGCCGAGGAGGGGGGAGGGGGCGCCTCGCCCCCCCCTCCATGTGGAGTGACGTCACCCGCTAATTATTATGAATGGAGGGGGGGGGGTCCATTTGGGGGACGTCACCAGCTCATGAATATTAATGAGGGGGGCTGGTCGATGTGGAGTGACGTCACGAGCGTTAAGGACATGGGTGATTGTAGTCGGTGTCTGGGTGAATATGGTGGGAGCGGTGGCGCAGTGGTTAGCGCGCTACCCGAGTTCAATTCTCGCTCACGGCCAACACCAATGACGATGCTCTTAACCAATCGGGGGCCTCCCCTAGGTCGACTTAGTCTAAAATGAGTGCCTGGTGCGATGTGTAGACGTTGCCAATAGGGAGACAAAGGCGGGCGGGAGTGTATTACTGTAGATGTGTCACAGCAGGGCATGCGGTGTGTGTGTGTGTGTGTGCTCCCTGCTGATTTTGCCAGCTAAAGTAGAACTTAGAACGCCGAACTTAGAAGCCCTGACTCTTGTTGTGCCCTGCTGAAGTCTCCACACGTAAGCAGCAATGGGTGTCTGAGTTCCATCAGCCGGTTGGCAATGCCTGGGTGTGGTTTAAGGATCAGGGTTAATCATTGACAAACTCGACAAGAATGTGGATTCTGACTGTTGACACTTTGGCGAATGAGAAGACAGCCAGCCAGCATTCTACACTATCAGAACCTTTATTCATACTGGAGGAATCCGATGAGCTATAAAGCTCCCTTTCCCACAGATGAATCAAGTAGGGTCACAGATGTATCAAGTAGGGTCACAGATGTATCCAGTAGGGTCACAGATGTATCAAGTAGGGTCACGGATGTATCAAGTAGGGTCACAGATGTATCCAGTAGGGTCACATATGTATCAAGTAGGGTCACAGATGTATCAAGTAGGGTCACGGATGTATCAAGTAGGGTCACAGATGTATCAAGTAGGGTCACTGATGTATCAAGTAGGGTCACAGATGAATCAAGTAGGGTCACAGATGTATCAAGTAGGGTCACGGATGTATCAAGTAGGGTCACGGATGAATCAAGTAGGGTCACGGATGTATCAAGTAGGGTCACAGATGAATCAAGTAGGGTCACAGATGTATCAAGTAGGGTCACAGATGAATCAAGTAGGGTCACGGATGTATCAAGTAGGGTCACAGATGAATCAAGTAGGGTCACAGATGTATCAAGTAGGGTCACAGATGTATCAAGTAGGGTCACAGATGTATCAAGTAGGGTCACAGATGTATCACGCCACGTGAGTGCACATTGGTAACACGGCGTCTCTTGCACGCTCAATAAGCAGCAGCTGCTGTGTGCCTATAAACAGACACGAGCCATGGTCGATCCACTGTTGGATTAAGTGATGGTTGTGAGTGGTGGCTGTAGTGGTAGTGAGTGGTGGTTGTGAGTGGTGGCTGTAGTTGTAGTGAGTGGTGGTTGTGAGTGGTGGCTGTAGTGGTAGTGAGTGATGGTTGTAGTGGTAGTGAGTGGTGACTGTAGTGGTCGTGAGTGGTGGTTGTTAGTGGTGGCTGTAGTGGTAGTGAGTGGTGGCTGTAGTGGTAGTGAGTGGTGGTTGTGGTTGTGAGTGGTGGGTGTAGTGGTAGTGAGTGGTGGTTGTGAGTGGTGGCTGTAGTGGTTGTGAGTGGTGGTTGTGGTTGTGAGTGGTGGCTGTAGTGGTAGTGAGTGATGGTTGTAGTGGTAGTGAGTGGTGGTTGTTAGTGGTGGCTGTAGTGGTAGTGAGTGATGGTTGTAGTGGTAGTGAGTGGTGACTGTAGTGGTCGTGAGTGGTGGTTGTTAGTGGTGGCTGTAGTGGTAGTGAGTGGTGGCTGTAGTGGTAGTGAGTGGTGGTTGTAGTGGTAGTGAGTGAAGGTTGTAGTGGTAGTGAGTGGTGGTAGTGGTGGTAGTGGTTGTGAGTGGTGGTTGTGAGTGGTGGTTGTAGTGGTGGTGGTAGTGGTGGTAGTGGTGAGTGTAGTGGTGGTAATGAGTGGTTGTAGTGGTGGTGGTGAGTGTAGTGGTGGTAATGAGTGGTTGTAGTTGTGGTTATGAGTAGTGGTGGTGCATGAGTGTGGTGGTGGTGGTGAGTAGTAAGTGGTGGTTGTGAGTAGTGGTGGTGAGTGGTTGTAGTGGTTGTGAGTGGTGGTGGTAGTGGTGAGTGTAGTGGTGGTAATGAGTGGTGGTAGTGAGTGTAGTGGTAGTGGTGGTGGTAGTGGTGGTTGTGAGTGGTGGTGGTAGTGGTGGTGGTAGTGAGTGTAGTGGTTGTGAGTGGTGGTGGTAGTGGTGGTGGTTGTGAGTGGGTGTAGTGGTTGTAGTGGTAGTGGTGGTGGTTGTGAGTGGTTGTAGTGGTGGTTGTAGTGGTGAGTGTAGTGGTGGTAATGAGTGGTGGTTGTAGTGGTGGTGGTGAGTGTAGTGGTGGTGGTAGTGGTGGTAGTGATTGTGAGTGGTGGTTGTAGTGGTGGTGGTAGTGGCAATGAGTGGTTGTAGTGGTGGTGGTTGTGAGTGGTGGTAGTGGTTGTGAGTGGTTGTGAGTGGTGGTTGTAGTGGTGGTAGTGAGTGTAGTGGTAGCGGTTGTGAGTGGTGGTAGTGGTTGTGAGTGGTGGTTGTAGTTGTGAGTGATGGTAGTGGTGGTAGTGATTGTGAGTGGTGGTTGTAGTGGTGGTGGTTGTGAGTGGGTGTAGTGGTTGTCGTGGTGGTGAGTGGTTGTAGTGGTGGTAGTGGTTGTGAGTGGTGGTTGTAGTGGTGGTGGTAGTGAGTGGGTGTAGTGGTTGTAGTGGTAGTGAGTGGTTGTAGTGGTGGTTGTGAGTGGGTGTAGTGGTTGTAGTGGTAGTGGATGTAGTGGTTGTAGTGGTGGTGGTAGTGGATGTAGTGGTTGTGAGTGGGTGTAGTGGTTGTAGTGGTAGTGAGTGGTTGTAGTGGTAGTGGGTGTAGTGGTTGTAGTGGTAGTGAGTGGTTGTAGTGGTGGTTGTGAGTGGGTGTAGTAGTTGTAGTGGTAGTGGATGTAGTGGTTGTGAGTGGGTGTAGTGGTTGTAGTGGTGGTTGTGAGTGGGTGTAGTGGTTGTAGTGGTAGTGGATGTAGTGGTTGTAGTGGTGGTGGTAGTGGTTGTAGTGGTAGTGAGTGGTTGTAGTGGTTGTAGTGGTGGTGAGTGGGTGTAGTGGTTGTAGTGGTAGTGAGTGGTTGTAGTGGTAGTGGGTGGTTGTAGTGGTGGTGAGTGGGTGTAGTGGTTGTAGTGGTAGTGAGTGGTTGTAGTGGTAGTGGGTGTAGTGGTTGTAGTGGTAGTGAGTGGTTGTAGTGGTGGTTGTGAGTGGGTGTAGTGGTTGTAGTGGTAGTGGATGTAGTGGTTGTGAGTGGGTGTAGTGGTTGTAGTGGTGGTTGTGAGTGGGTGTAGTGGTTGTAGTGGTAGTGGATGTAGTGGTTGTAGTGGTGGTGGTAGTGGTTGTAGTGGTAGTGAGTGGTTGTAGTGGTGGTGAGTGGGTGTAGTGGTTGTAGTGGTAGTGAGTGGTTGTAGTGGTAGTGGGTGTAGTGGTTGTAGTGGTAGTGAGTGGTTGTAGTGGTGGTTGTGAGTGGGTGTAGTGGTTGTAGTGGTAGTGGATGTAGTGGTTGTGAGTGGGTGTAGTGGTTGTAGTGGTGGTTGTGAGTGGGTGTAGTGGTTGTAGTGGTAGTGGATGTAGTGGTTGTAGTAGTGGTGGTAGTGGTTGTAGTGGTAGTGAGTGGTTGTAGTGGTTGTAGTGGTGGTGAGTGGGTGTAGTGGTTGTAGTGGTAGTGAGTGGTTGTAGTGGTAGTGGGTGTAGTGGTTGTAGTGGTAGTGAGTGGTTGTAGTGGTGGTTGTGAGTGGGTGTAGTGGTTGTAGTGGTAGTGGATGTAGTGGTTGTGAGTGGTTGTAGTGGTTGTAGTGGTGGTTGTGAGTGGGTGTAGTGGTTGTAGTGGTAGTGAGTGGTTTTAGTGGTTGTCGTGGTGGTGGTAGTGGATGTAGTGGTTGTGAGTGGGTGTAGTGGTTGTAGTGGTAGTGAGTGGGTGTAGTGGTGGTGGTTGTAGTGGTTGTAGTGGTGGTGGTAGTGGATGTAGTGGTTGTGAGTGGTTGTAGTGGTGGTGGTTGTGAGTGGGTGTAGTGGTTGTCGTGGTGGTGAGTCAGGGTCACGCCCCTCCTGTCGTCCCCACCCCCCGCCTCTCGCCCGGGCAGTAGCAGCAAGCAGCCACATCGCTCTCCAGCCAGGCAGGAGGAGGAGGTGAAGGTGCTGGAGGGAGTCTAGCGAACAGAAGAAGCCACTCGACGAGACAGCGAAGAGCCACGAGGTACGTGTCGGCTACAACTACACTCGCAACAACAACCACCACAACAACCACCACCACACAACCTTAACGCCAGCCGGAGCAAGGAGCAGCAGCAGCAGCGAAGTGAAGGGTGTTGAACAATGGGGCTGGCAGGCCACGCCTGCTGCCGGCGGCAGGACGAGATCAGTCGATTCCGTTGCAAAGAAAAGGGGGCACAACTAGACAACAACCACCACCACAGACAACAACAACAACCACCACCACAGACAACAACAACAACCACCACCACCACAGACAACCACCACCACAGACAACAACCACCACAGACAACCACCACCACCACAGACAACAACCACCACAGACAACCACCACCACCACAGACACCCACCACCACAGACAACAACCACCACCACCACAGACACCCACCACAATCACCACAGACACCCACCACAATCACCACAGACACCCACCACCACCACCACAGACAACAACCACCACCACCACAGACAACAACCACCACCACCACAGACACCCACCACCACAGACGACCACCACCACAGACAACAACCACCACAGACAACAACCACCACAGACAACCACCACAGACAACCACCACAGACAATCACCACAGACACCCACCACCACAGACAAGAACCACCACCACCACCACAGACAACCACCACAGACAACAACCAAATACTGTACAACAACCGGCAAGCGACAGGCATGCCAATTGCGGAGTGAGTGTACTGTTAGTAAGAGTTAGTAAGTTAGTAAGAGCTAGAAAGAGTTAGTAAGAGCTAACGGTGGGAATAGTGAGCGGTGATCCAAAGGGGCTCTACTACTACAACACTGTCACGCCTCTAAGAGTTGATATAACTTCAAACCAACCCACACGCCACAACCACCACAACCACCACCACCACTCCCACCACTCACAACCACCACTCACCACCACAACCACCACTCACCACCACAACCTCTCACCACACTACAACCACCACTCCCACCACCACTCACAACCACCACTCACAACCACCACTCACAACCACCACTCACAACCACCACTCACCACCACAACTACCACTCACAACCACCACTCACCACCCCAACCACCACTCACAACCACCACTCACAACCACCACTCACCACCACCACTCACCACCCCAACCACCACTCACAACCACCCCAACCACCACTCACCACCACAACTACCACTCACAACCACTCACCACCACCACTCACAACCACCACTCACAACCACCACTCACAACCACCACTCACCACCCCAACCACCACTCACCACCACAACTACCACTCACCACCACCACTCACCACCACAACCACCACTCACAACCACCACTCACCACCCCAACCACCACTCACCACCACAACTACCACTCACCACCACCACTCACCACCACTCACAACCACCACTCACAACCACCACTCACCACCCCAACCACCACTCACCACCACAACTACCACTCACCACCACAACCACCACACACCACCACAACCACCACTCACAATCACCACTCACCACCACAACTACCACTCACAACCACCACTCACAACCACTCACCACCACCACTCACCACCACTCACAACCACCACTCACAACCACCACTCACAACCACCACTCACCACCCCAACCACCACTCACCACCACAACTACCACTCACCACCACAACCACCACTCACCACCACAACCACCACTCACCACCACAACTACCACTCACAACCACTCACCACCACCACTCACAACCACCACTCACAACCACCACTCACAACCACCACTCACCACCCCAACCACCACTCACCACCACAACTACCACTCACCACCACCACTCACCACCACTCACAACCACCACTCACAACCACCACTCACCACCCCAACCACCACTCACCACCACAACTACCACTCACCACCACCACTCACCACCACTCACAACCACCACTCACAACCACCACTCACCACCCCAACCACCACTCACCACCACAACTACCACTCACCACCACAACCACCACTCACCACCACAACCACCACTCACAATCACCACTCACCACCACAACTACCACTCACAACCACCACTCACAACCACTCACCACCACCACTCACCACCACTCACAACCACCACTCACAACCACCACTCGCAACCACCACTCACCACCCCAACCACCACTCACCACCACAACTACCACTCACCACCACAACCACCACTCACCACCACAACCACCACTCACCACCACAACTACCACTCACCACCACAACCACCACTCCACCACAATCTCTCACCGCCAAAGTAATAAACGTGGACTAAAGGGAAACACGACGACAACAACCGCACAACCACAGCAACAACCACAGCCACAACTCTCTCACACACACAGGGCAAAGACAAAGGTCCACCGTGTAGCCTGTGACAGACTGTAGGGGCAAGTGCTGTTAGCGAGCAGGACCTATGAAGGCCGGCACTGTGGCACACGAGGGGGTGGGTGGCCAGCACCACACCCGGCCGCCTTTGTCTCCCCAGTGGCGATGTTCACCACGTTAGGTGAGGTACTCGTTTGAGGCTGAGTGGACACACACACACAGGGTACCACCACCACCACCGTGAAACGCTGATGGTAAACTTTGAACCAGCACCACCACTCACCACGACCACCACTACAGCAACAACACCACAACAACAACACGATAACACGTGCACCACAACAACAACACCGACTACATGCAGTAACAACACACAACACCACAACAACAACAACTACATGCAGTAACACACACCACAACAACAACGACTACATGCAGTAACACACACACCACCACCACAACAACAACACAACACGTGCACCACAACAACAACTACATGCAGTAACACACACCACCACAACAACAACAACTACATGCAGTAACACACACCACAACAACTACATGCAGTAACACACACACCACCACAATAACAACAACTACATGCAGTAACAACACACCACCACAACAACAACAACTACATGCAGTAACACACACACCACCACAACAACACCACAACACGTGCACCACAACAACAACCAACAACAATAGCAAACATCGGTGTGTGAATGAATGAACTGCAACTAATAACGGGAGTATTTACAATGAGCGCAAGCCTTGGCACCATCAGACAATGTGTTTATATTACAGCCAGTTAACAACCTCGTGGGTACCAACACCACCTGGCTGGGCTTCTTATCTTGGCGTCTTAAGATAATTATAAAAGCACAACAGGCAACCGCAACTATCAACGCCATCATCATCATCAGCAACAACAATCGTATCGCATTCAACATCGACTAAAGTTGATTGGCGAGTCTTGAGACGTCTTCAAACATTCGCCTCGAATGCAACGGGGAGAGGCCCTTTTGTACTTTGAGGCCGTGTCAGATTTGTGGCTTGCGTGGTAAGTTTGTATGGGTTTTAAATCGTTATTGTTTCCTTTGCGGCTGTCTAGCCCGGTTAAATGTTGCATCAATGGTGCAGACCCTTTCACTCTGTAAATACATCGACAATCCCTGCTTGTGATCACCGATTATATTCGTTCAGACGTGCCAAGGTCTCGCCCACGGGCCCCCCCGGTTTTCCTAGCTCCGCTGCCGGGTGGCTGCAGCTCTGGCCGGCAGACTGAGCCACACCCTGCCCCCCCCCTGCTCCCGTGCTGCTGCTGCTGTGTTGATCAAATGCCCTGCAAGGCTCCCACGTTGTGTCTCCCTGCCCCAGCAGCGAGCAGGCGGAGGCGTTGCAGAAGTCTGCCTTGTCCAGCCCTGGCCACGTCCATGGAATCACCGCGTTCACCACCCCCGCCGTTGACTTAACCACAAAGCGGTACCGATTTTATCGGACCCCGGTCGGCGGAATGATTGGCTGAGTTAACCCACTCTGACCTCTTCTCGCCCTGGCCGCGATTTGAATGGGCAGGTTTGAATGGAAGACAATGCGACAATCGCACTCTGTAGCCTGCGGCAATGTACAGAATGTCAATTCGTGTGCAGACTATTCAACTATACATATGTTTTTATTTAACCAGGTAAGGCCCACTGAGCTATGTAGCTCTTATTCAGAAGCGACCTGGCCATCAAACGATAGTTCACGTGGAATGTTATAGCAGCCAAATACTCTTAAAGGCAGGCGTGACGTTGATTATAAATGTGGTTGGAAAATCCGGAGGAGCTGGAGAATAATTCACGGGGAGAGACAGAGACACGCAAACTCCAAATATACAGCGGGTGTCAGTTTTATGGATCGAACCCACGACCTCATTGGTATACCAGGCGAGGTCGTAAACATCTCGCCGCCGTATATAATACGGTAACGCTGTGAAATCGCACGGTCATTTATTCTACCCCGTCAATCCACATCTGGATGCGGGCTTCCATCATCACGCTGTGGTCGGTCTTGTTGCCGACCACAATATTTAAACGCACTCCTTTGTTCAATATCCTTTTGGAGATCCTAGCCCCCGCAATGGGGTGTCTCTACATGGATGTCCCTGCACATGTTTTATAGTGAGGGGGGGGGGGGGCAGTGTTTCTAAAGGATGTGCTGAGAATTTAATTTGATGCGTATGTGGAGCAATGGTGCCAACTTCCCAATTGTGTGGCCATGGGTCAAGAAAGGGCACGGTTTGTAAAAGATCAGCGTGGTGATTAAGCATCAAGCGTTGTGTTTTGCGATAACTTACGGAGGTGCGTCTTATGTTGGCGCAGTTATCGGCACGGTTTCCTGCATTGTGGTTCCGGTGAGTCATTCACCTGCGTTGTTACCCGCAGAGCCGCCGCTACGTGGAACCAAGGCGTGGAAAACTTTCGCGAGCTTGCCACTTTGTAGTGTTAGTTTATTACTCCGCTTGTGAACGCAAGATAGACTCGGCGAGTCTCAACACTGATTCTTTTTTTCTTCTTTTATGGACCTGCTAATTTTTCGCAGGAGTGGGTGATGTTGCTGCGTGTTATCCCGATTGAGTAAATTGCAGGCGATTCATCTT